CTTTATTTAAAATGGTCGTATTTTGTTCATCGTTCATCTTGGCCCCCGTTTTGATTTGTTTTAATTTTTTTAATGTTTATTTGTTTTTGAGAAAGAGAGAACAGAAGTGTGGGGAGTGGGGGGGACAGAGAGAGAGGGAGACACAGAATCCAAAGCAGGCTCCAGGCTCCAAGCTGTCAGCACAGAGCCCGGTGCGGGGCTTGAACCCACAAACTGCGAGCCGAAGTCGGACGCTTAACCAACTGAGCCACCTAGGCGCCACTGATTTGTTTTAAAACTGCATTAAAGTATTATTTATCTTGACTACTCAGTATTGGCTGCTCCTCCAACTTTGCCCCGGAGGAAAGTGCCTCATTTTCTGCACCCTGGTTCGCCAGACCAGCTGCAAGCAGTTATCTTTGACCCTTCTCTTCTCCCCCACAGCTTGCACTTGGCTCTACTTTCCAAATATTTCCAGAGTCTGATTGTATCTGGCCACCTCTGCTTCCACCACCCAGGCTCAAGCCACTGTCCTCTCTCACATGGTATTCTGGTTACTATTCGTGCATCACACAGTACCCAAAAAAGTAGGAGTATAAAATGATAACTGATTGGGGCGCCTGAGTGGCTCAGTCATTTAAGCATCTGATTCTTGGTTTTGGTTCAGGTCATAATCTCAAGGCTCCTGGGATCAAGCCCTGCGGGCTCAGCAATGACAACGCAGAGCCTGCTTGGAATTCTCTCTCTCCCTCTCCCTCTCTCTGCCCCTCCTTCCGGAGTGCACACGCATATACTTGGATTCTCCCTCTCCTTTCTCTCTCTCAAAATAAATAAATACTTATTTTTTATAATAGCAACCATTTAATTAGAGTCATAAATCAGTGGGTTGGGACTTCAGGAAGGAGTCAGCCAGGCAGTTCTTGCTCAGAGTTTCTCATGCTGTTGTAGCCAGGTGTCAGCTGGGGCTGTAATCATCTGACGGCTCACCTGGGCTGACTGCCCACTCATGAACCTGATAGTTGATGGTGGCTGCCCTCTGTGAGCTCTTCTTGGGCTGTTGAATGGGATGCCTAACACACAGTCTATCCATAGCTTGGGGCTCTCTTATGTGGGGACCAACTTCCACCACAGCAAGCATCCCAAAAGAATCAAGTGGAAATTTTATGACCTCAGAAGCCACATAGCACCACTTCCACCACACGCTATTGCTGGAAGCAGTCTTAAGATCACCCAGATACATGGGGCGACTGGATGAGTCAATAGGCTAAGCATGATCAGCTCAGGTCATGATCTCCTGGGTCGTGAATTCGAGCACGAAGTCGGTCTCTGTGCTGACAGCTCAGAGCCTGGAGCCTGCTTCAGATTCTGTGTCTCCCTCTCTCTCTGACCCTCCCCTGCTCACCCTGTGTGGGTCTCTCTCTCTCAGAAATAAATAAAAACATTAAAAAATTTTTTAAAACATTAAAAAAAATTTTAAGATCACTCAGATTCAAGAGCAAAGACCCTAATTGTCTATCCATCACAAAGTAGCTAGAATTATCCTTTTAAAATGAAAGTCACATCATTTTGCTCTCCTCCTCAAAACTTTGAATGACGACCCGTTACTCAAAAAAAATAATCCAAATTCTTAGCCTAGGGACACCTGGCTGGCTCTTCAATGGAGCATGCAACCCTTGATAACAGGGTTGTGTGTGTGAGTCCCATGTTGGGTGTAGAGATTACTTAAAAATCTTTTAGGGGCACCTGCATGGCTCAGTCAGTTAAGCATCCAACTTCAGCTCAAGTCATCTGATGGCTTGTGAGTTCGAGCCCCACATCGGGCTCTGTGCTGACAGCGTAGAGCATGGAGCCTGCTTCAGATTCTGTGTCTCCTTCTCCCTCTGCCGTCTCCCCGCTCACACTGTCTCTCTCTCTCTCAAAAATAAGTCAACATTTAAAACAATAAATATAAATAAATAAATAAAAATAAAAAGAAGTTCAAGTTGTCTGGGTGGCTCAGTCGGTTAAGGATCCCATCTCAATTTCAGTTCAGGTCATGTCTGAGCCTGGCATCAAACCCCCCATTGAGTGTGGAACTCACTTAAGACTTTGTCTCTCCTCTGCCCCTGTCTTCCGCTTCTGCTCTGTCTCTCCAAAATGAATTTAAACAATAAAAAAATAAGTTCACGATAAATAGCCCTGTGCATGTTTGTCCTTTGTGTGGAGGTGTATCATTAGAGTAAATTCCTAGAAGCAGGAACACGGGGTGAAAGGATGGATGTCTACGTGACTTTGTCATATATTATCACATTCCTCTCCACAAGGGTTGTACCATTGTGCGCTTGAGCTAGCAATCAATGAGAGTGCAATGTGCATCTGCAAAAAAGAGCATTTTCACAATCAGTTGATGTTGTCCCCAGAAAATGCATAAAGCTAAATCTCTGTAGAACAAAATTAGGAAGTCGTAAGGAGAAAATACAGCCCGATATACATGGCATCGATGAAAAGTGAGTTGGATACAATAAAAATTTAAAGGTAGGGGCGCCTAGGTGGCTCAGTCGGTTAAGCATCTGACTTTATTTATTTTTAATTTTTTATTATTATGCTTATTTATTTTGAGAGAGAGAGAGACAGAGTGCGAGTGGGGAAGGGGCAGAGAGAGAAGGAGACACAGAATCTGAAGCAGGCTCCAGGAGTGTGAGATCATGACCTGAGCCAAAGTCAGAGGCTGAACCGATTGAGCCACCCAGGGGCCCTCCCTGACTTTATACAAACAAATGGAAAGAGAAAGTACCCATATTTCCACTCACCTATCCCATTTATTTATTTATTTATTTAAAACATTTTAATGTTTATTTAATTTGAGAGAGAGAGAGAGAGAGAGAGCTCAAGCATGAGTAGGGGAGAGCAGAGAGAGAGAAAGAGGGAGACACAGAATCCGAAGCAGGCTCCAGGCTCTGAGCTGTCAGAACAGAGCCCCATACGGGGCTCAAACTCACGAACCATGAGATCAGGACCTGAGCCTGTCAGATGTTTAACAGACTGAGCCACTGAGGCATCCCTATTTATTTATTTTAATTGTTTATTTACTTTTGAGAGAGAGAGAGGAGAGCGCAAGCCAGGGGCGGGTGTGGAGAGAGGGACACACAAAATCCGAAGCAGGCTCTGTGCTGCCAACACAGAGGGGGGGAGGCAAACCCAAGAACTTCAAGATCATGCCCTGAGCTGAAATTGGATGCTCAACGGACTCAGCCACCCAGGCGCCCCAGAGGTGGATTTTTAAAAATATTTAACAGATTGTAGTTAAGTTCCTGGAGTTCTCATCACCTACTCTAGATGTTATAATTATAGCTATGTTCGAGGGTTTTAATGACGACAAAACCAGCTCCAGGAGGAAAAAGTGTAAATTTATTTATTTATTTATTTTAATGTTTACTCACTTTTTGAGAGAGAGAGAGGATGAGCTGGGGAGGGGCAGAGAGAGATGGAGAATCTTGAGGTGGCTCCAGGCTCTGAGCTGTCAGCACAGAGAACCTGATGTGGGACTTGACCTCATGAACCGTGCGATCATGAACCGTGAGATCATGACCTGAGCCGAAGTGGGCCGCTTAACCAACCGAGCCACCCTGGTGCCCCAAGGTGTAAATTTAAAGAAGGGATAAAACTAGCAAGGGGTTAGTTGTACAGTAAAATATATGCACTAAATAGCCTTCTTGTCGGTAGGATGGGGAAACGCATGTTTTCTCTTTTTGTTTCTGCACCTTAGCCAGCCCTTGACCTTCACTTTTACGGTGCGGGTCCCACTCTGTGTGGGATAGTTGCGTTCTTAATTTTCTCGCCGACTTGCTTCGATTTGGGTCAAGCACCTCAGCTTGAACGACTCCACAGAGAATCAAGAATCTCCAAAAAACAGTTCCTACTTCACCCCGCCCCCTCCCTAGGGAGGGCACGCGCGCGCGGCTGCGCAGACCTCACCCTGGCCCCTCGTGACGTCACAAAGGAGCCAACGCGGGTGGGCGCGGCCGTTACCCTGCCATCCAAGTCCGCTGCCCGAGCCCACCGGGCCCGGTCCACTTTAGTCAAGGCGTGAGAGTAACAGCACAAGGCTGAAACTCTCACGCGGCCACCGCTCCATCCTTCGGTGGCGCCGCCCGCCTCTCGGGGCAGGCGAGGTAGGCGGGGCCAGGCTGCTGTAGCGCCGGGTCTCCCCTCCACCGAGTGGGCTGGGCCCCCCCCCCCATCTCCCGGGCAGGCCCGAGAAAGCGCCGGGTCGGGACTGCAAGGACCGGAGAGGCGCGGGCCCGTTGGGGAGGAGCAGAGAGCAGAACACCGCCTCCCTCCCCCCGCGCTCCACCACCATGACCACACACAACTCGGCCGCCTCCCTAGGCAGCCGAAGTGGCGGGAGGGACCGTGAGGTGCAGCGCGCTCTCGGAGCCCAGGACATCGCTGACCAGACCTCAAACCAGGCCTCCAACTGGGGCACGACCACATCTTCCACGTCCGGGTCGAGCGTCCATTCCGAGTGGCGGACCGTGGCCAATTCGTTTGCCAGCTTCGGGTGGAACCCATCCGCAACGGACGCCGGATACGACAACAGCTCCAGCACATCCGCCCCGATCGACTCCGGTGGTAGCCCGAGAGCCAACGCGAACTCTAACATTAGCTTCTGGGGCTTTGACGCCCACGGCCAGAGCCATCAGATCCCCTTGGCTGCCACCGGCTTGAGCACCGCCGATGGGGCCGCCCCAGCATCCAACCTGGACGCCAGCAACCGCCGGGGATCGTTACCAGCACCTGCCCCGCCCTCAGTCTCCACCCGAGGGTCGGTATCTGAGTCCACCCTGTCCGCAGGGCGCGGCTACCCCCGAGTATCAGTACAAGGACCTCCTACAACCAGTAACTCTTCCCTAGAGTGGATGCAAGGGTTCGTACATCCCCAGACATCCGGCTTCCTCAGGGTGTCGACGCCAGCACCTCCTCCACCCAGTAACACTCCCCAAGAGTCAACACAAGAGTCGGCCCCGCCCTCAGTGCAAAGCTCCTTCCGGGGTCTGGTGCTGGGACCTTCCATACCTAACTCCCCTGTAGTGTCACAGCAAGGGTCCGTGCGGTTCTCACTAAACGACTCTCCCCGAGTATCAGTAAACGGATCTGTCCAACTCTCAGAATCCTCCGTAGAGTCGGTGCAAGGGTCCACCCTGCCCTCAGTGCTCAGCACCCCCCGGGGTTCGCCGCCAGGACGGGTCTCGCTCTCGGACTACTCCCGAGTGTTGGTGCAAGAGTCCGCCCATCCCTCGGTGCCCGGCTCCCCCCGGGGTTCGCTGCAGGGGCCGACCCCGCGCTCGGACTCCCGAGCTTCGGTGCAAGAGTCAACCCAGCCCTCGGTGCCCGGCTCCCCCCGGGGTTCGCTGCAAGGACCAGCCCCGCGCTCCGACTCCTCCGGAGCGTCGGTACAAGGGTTCGCCCAGCCCTCAGTGCCCAGCTCCCCCTGGGGTTCGGTACAAGGACTTCTTACGCCCAGAAACTCCTCCGGAGGACCGGTACCAGGGTCCGCCCAGCCCTCAGTGCCGGGTAGCCCCCGAATATCCATAGAAGGATCGACTCCGCCCACAGGCTTCCCTGGAGTAGCAGTACCAGAGACCGCTCCGCCCTCCGTGCCCGACTCCACCCGGGTGTCGATGGAAGATTCGGCTCCGCCCCTGGACTCCCCCCGAGAGTCGATAGAAGGGTCCGCCCCGCCCTTGACCGGCCTCACTTCTATACATACGCCCGGAGAGAGTCTCAATCAGAGCATGGCGAGTCAGGAGAAGGCGAGTCGAGAGAAGGCGAGTGTCGCGGGCCACATGTTCGACGTAGTCGTGATAGGAGGCGGCATCTCAGGTCAGTGTGAGCCGTAGCGGTAAGCCGAGGGGCCCTGGCAAGCCTGGGGTGGGGGGCTTGCAGTAACGCCGCGGCGTTTGGGGATCTCTCTGGTGCATGCTGGTGTGCCACGGTGCCCGGCCCCGGATCCTGCGAGCGTGGGGGTTGGGCCAGTTTAGCTGGTGGCGTGAACTGGGGGCGGCGAGAACAATAATTTTACTACTATTAAATACTAACGTTTCACTAGCTCTTGCTGTGTCGTTAAATTCAGTACGTTACTTGCATTTTCTCAATCCTCAGCAGTCCTGGGAGAAGGGTACTATGGTCGCCCCCATTTTACAAAACCAAATAACTGAGGTCTGGAGACTTTGAGTAACTTTCCAAAGGTCAAATGCCTTAGCCAGAAAGTGGCGGAATGATTTTTTTTTCCCCAGTTAAGACCTTCACTTCTAATCCCTGAGGTGGCGGTTGCTTCATGTCCTTTGCGCTAAACAGGACATCAGTGTTCGGATTTTTGTACTACAGAGGTAGTAATAGTGTTATTCCACTTCTACTCTTCTCTAAGCACTTTTTTTTTTTTAAAGAAAATTTGGTAAGTGAAGAGGAAGGAAGAATCGTTTAGTAAAAGTGTTTTTTTTTTTTAATTTTTTTTAACGTTTATTTTTTAAAGGGAGGGAGAGAGAGACAGAGCCTGAGTAGGGGAGGGGCAGAGAGAAGGAGACAGGAATCCAAAAGGGGCTCCAGGCTCCCAGCTGTCAGCACAGAGCCCCACTCGGGTTTGGAACCCTGGAGCCCCACCAACCCCAGGGTCATGACACAGCCGAAGTCCGACACCTAACCAACTGAGCCACCCAGTGGCTCCAAGATTTTTTTTTAAGAGGATAGAGTCTTAGGTTGAACCTAACTCCCGCCATTTTTTAGAATTGGCAGGAAGGTGTAGGGCATTTATTGCCCAAAGAGAATCCCTTTCTGAAGCAGAGGCCAGTTGTGTACTTTATTAGCGCTCCCACCATCCGAATCTTGTCCGTTATCGAGCTGGTGAGCCTCGGTTCACCGGGTCCTGCCTTGGTTTTACAGTTGACCGAGTGCTGCATGAGGCTTGCCAGGATCTTCCTGGAAATCTCATCATGATTGATATATTAAATTGTCATTTAGGCAGTCATAATTGGTAAAAAAAATATATACATATACACATATATATATGTGTGTGTATATATATATGTGTATATATATATTTGAAATGTAGGCATTGTGTTTCAGCCCTAGCTAGAATCCCATATGAATCTGCCCAGGACCAGGGAAGGTGTTAATATCTGAAATATACCTGCAGGGTCTGATGTAGAAAGAGGGAGAAAGAAGGTGGAAGGGAGTAAGTTGGGTAGCCCCACCGTAGCCATTTTTGTGGATAATTCTTGTGGGGAGACACTGAACATGCTTACAAATTAATTTGGGGTGGCGATAGCTTTAGACTTGGTCTTGTTTCCATCCATCCATCCATCCATTCATTCAACAAACACGCTGCGTGCCTGTAATGAAGAGAATTGTTGTTTCCAAAAACCTAGGGCTCCTATGCAAGTCCCCTTCTAAGCAGTGTGATTGTTAATCACTAGGAAATAAATATTCTGATAATGTGCTCTTGTAAATTGATTCTTTCTCTCCCTTCTCCCATCTCCCATTGATCTCACAATTCGAGCTTCTTTCTGGGATTTTATCTTTGTCGTTTTCTCCTTCTGCGGTCCGGGGTTCCTTAAGGAGCATGTTGTCTTTGATTTTCCCTCTCCCTGATTACCTGCTCTTTCTCCCTATTCACATCTTAACTCCCAGTAGGTGGTTGTGAGCAGAGGCAGATTTACCGCATAGGTGGTGACCCTCATGTTTATGGCCTTACAGCTGCTGATGCCTTCTGGTTCTCATTCCGGATAAAGAGCTTCATACTCAGTCTTGTGTCGGTAATTTGGCAGTCTTTTTTCTTAGAAGAAGGCACCCAAATTATATAAGCTTCAGGCCCCTCAAAACCTGGATCTGTCTGTGGTCACTATGGACTGTTAATGTCTTTGTGTCATTCAGTGGGGAAGTAGAGGGCCTTTTTTTTCCTTTTTAATTTTTTTTTAATTTTTTATCTTTATTTCATTTTTGAGGGAGAGAGAGAGAGAGCGCGCGAGCAAGTGAGCCAGCAGGGGAGGGTCAGAGAAGAGAGAGACACAGAATCTGAAGCAGACTCCAGGCTCTGAGCTAGCTGTCAGCACAGAGCCCGACGCAGGGCTCGAACCCACAAACTGTGAGATCATGACCTGAGCTGAAGTCAGACGCTCAACCAACTGAGCCACCCAAGCGCCCCTCCTTTTTAATTTTTTAACGTTTGTTTATTTCTGAGAGACAGAGACACAGAACATGAGCAAGGGAGGGACAGAGAGAGAGGGAGACACAGCATCCAAAGCAGGCTCCATGCTGCGAGCCGGCAGCACAGAGCCCAACACAGGGCTCAAACTCCCAAATTGGAGAGAGCATGACCTGAGCCCAGAGAGAGCATGACCTGAGCCAAAGTGGGCCGCTTAACTGACTGAACCACCCAGGTGCCCCGAGGGCCTTTCTTGCCCAGTAGTTCTGGGGCAGCCAGCTTCCAGTCCATCAGAGTCAGTGGAAAAGGCACTGGGTTTCAAACGAATATCATCTCTATCATTCAGATTTGAGTGATCAAAGAAAAAAAGTTTATTTTTGAGAGAGTGCACATGGGGGAGGGGCAAGGAGAGGGGAACAGAAGATCTGAAGCGGGCGCTGCCCTGACAGTGGCCAGCCCCATGCAGGGCTTGAACTCATGAACCAGGAGATCATGACCCGAGCCAAAGATGCTCAACTGACTGAGCCACCCAGGCACCCCAGATTTGAGTGATTTTGACGCCAGAACTGGCCAGAAACATTGCATTCCAGCTGTGGTGCCCTTCCAGATGATTCATAACTAAAATAAAAGGAAGCACAAGCCTGGCTCACGATAAACCTTGCACACAGCCTGGGTATTTCACGAGGAGGTAAGACGCATTACTTCCTAAGAGTTCTTGAGGTACCCGAAACACATGATCTTTGCGCGGGCTTGGGAAAATCCCATGAGCTACTTAATAATCTCTGTATCAGTTTTTAAATGCTTTGGGATATTTCTTATGGCTTTTCTCAGGACTTGCACACTTTAATATGTTACATACTTACGCTTTAATATGTTACACACTTAAGCTATATGGTCAATACCAAATGCTTAGCATCGGTAACAGAGTTGCTCTGTTACATTGGAGTACAGATTCCAAATGGCATTCCTCAAAATCATTCCATAATAACAGAATGGCAGGATCTTAATATAGCCCACTTTTGTCATTTAAAAAAAAAAAAAACACCATAAAACAGAGCATGGAGTATAGCCGCAAAACTCCTTTTTCTGTCCACTCATCAACTGCATAATTGTATCCACTATGTCATTTACGTTTATAAGCCATCTAATGGTACGTTTATTAGCACCCTCTGGCCCTTATGTCATCCGTCATCTGTCACCAAGTCCTTCTTGAAGTTCCTTTCATTCTGTGACACTTGGATCCTGAATTTTTTTATCCCACACTGATTGCTCCTTTTCTGTCCCTTTCATCGGGCCCACAGTCTTGTGAACTTCTTGTTGTGAAATGGCCTCGGGTTTCAGTCGTCGGTCACTTTGGGGCTCTTGCTTGCTCTCTCCCTTCTCTTTCTCATTCTAGGACTTCAGATTTCCCTTATGTATAGACGGCTCTCAAGGCTCTAAGTGGGATCTATTTTGTTCTCTGAGCTCCTGTTCTCCAGCTTATGTGCTCCTGGATACTTACACTTGAACGTCTTGTTCTTACTTCATATTCATCATGTCCCAGAGCCTCCTTGCCGTCCCAACCCAGCTTGTCTTCTTCACTTTCTTGGCTCCATTCCTGACACCGCCGTCCTTTATACCCAGTCAGCAGATCCTTCTAATTCTTCATTTGTGCCTTTCATCCCTGTGACTTATTCATTCCGTAACCAGACTTGAGGTTTTTTAAAATGTATTTATTTTTGAGAGAGACAGAGAGAGCACGAACGGGAGAGGGACGGAGGGAGGGAGGAATAGAGGATCCCAAGCAGGCTTCACACCATCAGCATGGAGCCCGATGTGGGACTTGAACCCATGAGATCATGACCTCAGCCGAAATCAGGAGTCTGCCCTGTAACCGAGCGGGCCTCCCAGGCGACTGTCTTGACATTATTTTCACTACAGCAATTCAGGCATTGACTGTAGATGCTAGTTTTTACTCAGGAGCTGACAGAGATACAGCAGATGGACAGAAACGAAGCCGGGTAAGGTTTAAAACTCTGCCTTGAACTGAGAATTTCTGAGTTGGCTCTCTCTAGGGAGGAGGAAAAAAAGGAAAACAAAGAGGGGAAAAAAAAAAGCCCACCTCCAAGGGACAATGTATACTTCAGAGTCTTTGGGCCAAAGCGTTTTTGGAAAAGTAGTCCGGTTGCCTAAGATTTTAATCCTCTCCACGACATCTCCTTAGCGATGATGTGGCTGTAGCTTTGAACACATCTAAGGAAGGGGAATGCTCTGCCTCTCAAAGCACCTCATTATGGGCAGAGGTGGCTCTGGTGTCTGGACTCCTTCAAGCCCTTTGGGAGCCTCTATACCATATGCAAGGCAGTGGCTACATCACAGGGGAAAGGTGTGATGATGAGTAAGTAGTTTCTCCGCCCATAAGGGGCCATGTCCTCTTTCAAGAAGTAATCAGGGAAAAGAATGATTGACATTCATACAGTGAGAGAAATAGTAATGTCATGAATGTGAACGCAGGGTTGAGACCTCCAGAGAGAAGTTTCCAAGTGCTAACGCTGGGTGGTTAGTTTGCTCACGGTTGTTGACATTCTTAAGGGTCATGTAGAAAGAAAGCTTTCAAATCTTTCCAACTAGTGTCTAAGTAGTGGAACTCCCCTATATTTTTAATTCAGTCATTAAAAAAACTTTTTTTTTTTTTTTTTAGTGT